CATCATCATCATCATCATCATCATCATCATCATCATCATCATCATCATTCTCTCCTTGAACTGGGGTTGCACCATTTCAGCGGGACGGGCTGGTCCTTGGCATGTGCTGGCATTACAAGTGTGGGCCACCAGGGCTTTACAGAGCAGTAGTTTCAGCCTAAAGGTTGTGACTCCCACAGGGGTCGAATATCAGATATTTACATTATGATTCATAGAGCAGCAAAATCACAGTTAGGAGGTAGCAGTGAAATGACTTTATGGTCGGGGTCACCACATGGGGAGCTGTATTACAGGGTGGAAGCATTAGCAAGGTTGAGAACCGCTGGTTATACAATGCGGAGGATCTGAACTCATGTCCTCCTTCCTGTGCGGCAAACACTTTACCCATTGAGCCCTCTCCCCCAAACCCCTAAGACCCAAAAAACGTTTGAATTCTAAGACACATTCGATTCTGAGTGCTTTCGATCAGCAGAACCGTTTATCCAGAAGCTTCCATCTCCAGTCAAGGTGTGAACATCGAGAATCAGCGGTTTATTTGCTTCAAGTTCTACACTCAGAAAGGAGGCCAGAACTGTGACCAGGGCTGCCTGACAACGTGATAAAGAATCAGATTCACTTACACCACCTTATCTTTAATTTATATCTTTTTAAAAAGAATTTTGCATAATTCAACCATTTTGTTTTCTAAAGAGCATAGCTTATGTTTCCAAAAATAGAAACATTTTCATAAACTGCTAATTTTTATTACCTAGAGGTTTTATATCTAAGCATCTTATTTAATAATAATGCTTTTAGTAATAATTATAATCCTTGTTTTACTGTCATCTGTAATTTTTGGACACTTCAGTGTCATTTAACACAGTTCTTGGCATGCCTTATCTCATTTAATCCTTACAACAACTCAATTGTTACTGGTAGACATTACTATTCCTTTTATGTAAAGAGAAAACTGTGGATTTTAAGAAAATTCCCATCTGCACAAAGACATTAAGTACCAGAACATGGATTTTAATCCAGGTAGACTAATCCTGTTAGGCAGTGCATTCTTTTGTTCAAAAGCTCTCTTCTATAGTAATTAAAGCAACATTCACTTGACAAAAACAAAAAACAAAACAAAACAAAAAAAACCTCAAACAGTAAAATGATTATGTAGTTTTTTTGCCCCAGAAAATAGTGTAATATCACCTTCCACTCTCACCAGCATTTAGCTTGTTAACACCACAAAGGAAGTTACCTGGCCTACAAGACACAAGCACACACACACTAATATTTTTATTCATAAATATACACATTTTTCTGTAGTTTACTTTCTGAAAATAATAGCTGCACAAGATAGAAACCCTCCACATTGTCGCTGTTATCATTGTTACACATTTGAGTAGTTGTGTACAAATACTGCACGTTTTTCTTCAACCGTTCCGAGGATGGAGGATGTTTCCAACTTCTGGCTCTTCCAAGGTGCTAGAAATGAATGCCCTCATTTTTATGGAAGTTCCTTTCATGTAGAATTAGATGTATCTCTAAAATAAAACTTTCTGGCACTGCAAAAATTAATGCTAGCTATTAGTCGTTAGATGATGGAAGACTCTAACGAATTGCCCTCTGCCAGTATTCGTTTTCCCAACAGTGTCTATTATAAACACTTAAAATCTTCATAATTTGAGGATAAAAATGAGTATATTATAGATTTAACCTGAGCTTATTGGCAAAGGGAAATATTTTTGTGGGCTTATGAAACAGTTTTTAAAAACTGTATATGACTTTTATCCTTTCTCCCCAGGGTGTCCTCTTGTAAGTTTTCAAGAGCTCATTACATGTTAGCAACACAACATTCATCGGTCCTCTGTGTTGCACATTTTGTCCCTGAGGTTATGATTTATCATTTAAATGTTTTTATCTCTATTTCTATATATAAGCACACATACATAGATATTAGATATATTTACAGATAAACTTGTCTTTTAAAAATTAAATTTATATAGTTAAGTGTTTTGTAGTTTTTGCGTTTATATATGTTCACAGTTTGTATTTAAATAAATTTCCATTTCAATATTAGATCTGACATAACTTCTAGAATGACCTTAGAATGATAAGGTTAATTCCAGTTTTGTTGATCCTTCTGTTCAGGTGTGCTGACAGAACAGGCGGCGGGTCCTCTGGGGCAGAATCTGGATTTGGAATCATACTCGCCATACAACAATGTCCAGTTTCCGCAAGTTCAGCCACAGATTTCCTCATCAGCCTATTATTCCAACCTGGGTTTCTACCCCCAGCAACCAGAAGACTGGTATTCTCCTGGAATCTATGAACTTAGGCGAATGCCCACCGAGACTGTGTACCAGGGAGAGACTGAGGTGTCAGAGATGCCTGTGACAAAGAAGCCCCGATTGGCCACATCGTCAGTGGGAAGAATAAAAGGCGATGAGCTGTGTGTTGTCTGTGGAGACAGGGCCTCTGGGTACCACTACAATGCGCTCACCTGTGAGGGCTGCAAAGGTGAGGCCTTCTGATTGTTTCCATCTTAGTAAGATTCTGCTGTTTCAGTGCTACAATTTCTTGAACTGGGTTTATATGCAAGAAAGTAACCGAATTTATAAATTAAGTGTACACAAAAACCCCTACAAAAACATCCCTTGAAACATAAAGTGCGTCCGTTACGTGTTTTTGTTGTTGGAACTGTTAGAGAAGGCTCTTGGGTTTGGTGAGCCTACTCCGTGCGCCATAGCTCCCCGGCTGTTGTCCAAGCCTCATCTTGGTTCGTTTAGAGCACCAGTCGGCCTGGGCTGGGGCGTATTGCGAATATTAAGTTTATCTTTGCTGTTTTCTCACTGCTCTTGATAATTTTAATGAGACCCAGGGCACAAACAAACTCTGAGGTCTGTTAGTTTAAATGTCAGGACAAGATGGCCATAGAGATGATCCAGAGAAGCTTTCTTAGTTTTAAAAGACTATTATAAAAATAACATGCAATCATAAATTTAACGTGGGGCTAGTGAGATGGCTGTGGAGTTAAAAATGCTTGTCAACCTGCCTGATGTCCTGATCCCTGGGACCTATATGGTGTAAAGAGAGAACTGACTGATGAATTTTTTCCTCTTATCTCCCTACATAGCATGTGTGTGTCCCCTCAATAAAATAAGTGTGAAAGGCATATAGAAATAAAAATAAATTTAATATGGGTAAAAGAATTAGTACAATGTACTAATTTCACAAGAAGTGAAAACTCAGGGAGTCTTTTATTATTCCTGTTAGAGTCTTTGTATCCAGTCATAAAGAGTGACATAGAAGTGTAAGGCATCATGGGAAGATTTCTAGGAAATGTGTATTTGGGGTCCTACTCCAGGCCTATGGATTGAGAATTTCTGAAACCAGAACCTAAGAATCTTTGATCTCATAAGCCCTTAATGCTCAAATTTTAAAACATGGGTATAGGTGATATCTAAAAGGTACCCAAGAGGGCTCACAAGGCAGATCAGCATTGATAGCAACAGAGAACCCAGGGAGCACTCTCTCTCTTAGGTCAGCAGATGGTCAGCTTTATACATAAAAATGAGGCCTGGAAATCTGGCTGGAAAGGCACAAATTTCCAGTCTAGGCCATGTTTCCTGCCTGAAGAGAAAGAAAAAAGAAAAGAACACTCATAGAAGGAAAAATCCCAACACTATCCCATTTAAGCTGTATGTTACAGTGCCAACTACAGGCCGATTCGCTCTAGCCTTCCCCAGTAACTGTGGGAGATGGGCATCACGTGTACATCTGAAAGAGGGGGTACCAGCAAAGCCCTCTCCTGCCAGCTCTGGGAACCCCAAGGAAAAGGATGCAGAAAGAGTGTCAGAGCCAGAGGGGATGGAGGACACCAAGCAAACAAGAGCCACTGTCTCAACATGAGCAAACCCCAGATGAACTCAGAGACGGAAGCAGCAAGCACTGGGCCAGCACGGTCTGCTGGGCTTATAGTATGGCTTCCACTTCAGTGTTTTTATGGGATTCCTGAGTAGGTCTCTGTTTCTGGTGCCTTCTCTTGAGCTCTTTTCCCTCTTTTTGCTTGTTTGTCTAATTATTATGCGCTAGTTTTTATTTCATCTTATTTTATTTTGTCTTATTTTATCATTATCACTTAGAAGCCTGTTTGCTTTCTAATGAGAGACGGAAAGGGAGTGAATCCGGATGGGAAGGAAGGTAGGGAGACACTGGGAGGAGAAGAGGGAGGGGAAACAGTAATCGGGTGAATAAAGTAATGGAGCTATTTTCAATAAGAGGAAAAGAAAAAGAAAAGAAAGGGAGGAACTTGCATAGTATATCAGAATGAAGCCATGTGGCTTCGAGAGGTCAGTGCTGAGTGTGTGGGATCTATTTAACATACTTCCATAATAAGGTTCTTTAATGTTCATGCCATCTACCTATTTTGTAGATGAGCAAACTGAAACACAAAATGCTAATGAACCCACCCAAGACTTCATAGCTGATAAGGGAAATGGGGGTGGAGGTGGGGTTGGGGGTCCAGCTTCAAAACTGTAGCTTGTAAATCTAACTCCATACACCTTGCATGGGTGACCTCCAGGCTGAGGTGTTAGCATTGCTTGCCTACTAAATGGCCATCCTACTCCTGGGCTGTTTGCTCACAGTTAATACTGATGATTAATACAGTGATGATGTCAATACAGTGGCCAAAGGAAGAAACCCAAATGCTTCATTTAGATACTGAGGTGTCAGTGTTTTCTTAGCCCATGGATCAAACACCAATAGTCAGAAATTTGGAAAAGTTCACTTTATAAGTAAACTCAAGTTAAAAAGACCTAGGAATTTGGGAGCGTGGCAGAATCACTACAGGGAGACTAGGGGACCAAGGAAAATCACTAGGAGCATCCACCTAAATGACATTCAGGAAAGGAAAGGACTTTATAGTATGTAGAAGCTAAGTCAGAGGCAGGGAGCCTACAGGAAAGCACAGGGCTGCAGCTAGCAAGGCACAGAGGAAGTGGTCAGAGGGGACCTGATTTTTTGAGACTCACACAGGAAGTAGGATTTTGATATAGGTATGTTTTTAAGAACAGAGTAAGGCAGAGTTTTTTTTTCCTATTGATTTTTGGTTTGAGACTTTGTTCCCAATGGTGCCAGCAAATGACAAGCATGCAAGTGACATAGACAGCCGAGAGGGCCCATCCACTAACGGTCAGATTACAAACATTTTAAGATCTTCACCATAGCAGTCTCTGTTGCAACTGTTCCACCCTGCAGACACACCACATATGCACACGTGTAAAGAGTGGCCATGGCCTCATTCTACTGAACTTAGTATATAAACAGGCAGAAAAGTGAAGACCAGGTTATATTTTCTAGCCTGCTAGCACCCTTTCTCAACCATCGATGAGGCCAGAAATAGAACCATCAACATCAAACATAGTGAGAGTGTTTAACACGTATAGTCTATGTGAGCAGGAAATGGAGCCTCTTTGTCTGATTGGATTTAATTCAATGTCGAGTCCCTGAACTTACTTCATCTAATTTAGGATCATTCCTCTTACACCTGCTGAGTTGTGGTCAGGTACCGCACAGTGTTGCAGAGTGACTGGGTGGCTTTGTGGTGGGGTCGATCCCCGGTACTCTTGGGGTGATGTTGGAGCTGCTCTCCAGTCGCCATTAAGAAGATCTAGTGGCATCCTGGGGTGCTGAGTGCATTCCTCCTCCACCTCCGACCCTATCTGTGCATTTCTTTCGGGTCAGGGGTGGACTCCTGCTGTTGCTGTAGGGCCTGTGCTGGAATACCCAGATATACCAAGAAACCATGAAAGTGTTGACCTGCTTCATGCCAGGCTGGACACAGGGAACCCTGAGCCTGCAGGAACCCCTCTGTTGTGGGATCCCAAATGAGACTGTGTTTCTGTCAACCCTCAACTCACCTCTAGAATTCAGTCCGGAAATGGGGACATGAAAGGAACAGAGTTCATGAACCTCTCAAGGTACCAGTGTGCCTCAATTCTTTCTCTTTGATTGCCACCACAAAAACTCTTGGTCACAGGAGTATACTATGTGCCATACAGTGTTTGGGATTTGGGAGTTTGGGCTTAGGTGACTGAAAAGTCAATAATAGTCTGACTTGAGGTCTTATGTGTTCTCATAAGAAAATGAGTGAAACCAGCCCTCGCTTAATCAACAGGGAAGGACAAAGGACAAGGAAACGAGAGGAGCACACAAAAGGATGCAAAAGAGTCCAACAAAAACCTATTCCAGGAAGGTCTAACAGCTCAGCCAACCCTGTCCCCACAACCTGCAACTCTTGGCATATGACCTCCCAGGATGCAAAGCTGATTTCACTGTCTGATATTCTTCACAAAGATGCTGGGCTTTAGAGTCAGTCAGCATGCCTCAGATCTAGGCTCTCTACTTCTTGGCAAAATAATCAAATCCCCCAAGACAGCAGTTGGAACCCAATGAAGTAAAACAGAACCTAAGGGAATAAATGCAGGCCCAGTTGAGAGAGCCACCACAGGTTCTACGCTGGCCTTGAGGAGTGTGCTCAGAGCTGTGCTGCAGTACTGGTCTGCTGGAGCTATTGCTACTCAGTCACAGGGTAGAAGACAGAGATGTGAAAAGCCATTCTGAGGCACAGTTGCACCCTCCTGCTTGACAGTAGGAACAATAGGAGCACAGATATAGCCTCTCTTCTGTTCTACGCCAACTCCTAACGGCATCTCTTTGCAAGGGAAACTGGAAAAAGTTGTGTTCAATGTCCTTCCCTTGTGGAAAGGACTTAGAGTAGCCCAAACACTATATGACACCTAGTATACTCCTGTGGCCAATAGTTTTTATGGTGGCAGTCAAAGAGAAAGAAGTAGCTAAAGAGAACTCTGTGCCCTCTCCCCACTAACCTTCTTTCTCTCCTACCAGGTATTAGAAAGGATTTGGGGTAGAAAAGGGGAAAAGAGGCCTAAGAAACATAAATATAATAGTTTTAAAAGTACTTCCTGCTGGTTAGGGTTGTCAGGTTCCTTGTGGAAATTCCAATCTTCATTTCATGATATCTCCAACTTCTTCTCATCAAACTGTATTGACAGCAATCAAAAGCGGGGGGGGCACTAGCAGCCTTCTTCTTTCTCCAAGCTCCCCAACACTCTCTGGGCTCTGGCCTTTAGTCCCTCTCAGAGTCCTCAGAATTAAACTATCTTCAGCTGGGAAAGAGCCCCCTCTCAGAGCCTGCATGAGGCAAATAGTTTGCTGCTGCGGACAATCTGAATCAGTCCTGTACCCTACACCTGGGATCATGACGCTATTGTCCTTTAGAATACATTTTTATATAAGATCATAAGCCGGTCCTGAAGTTTTAGCTCTGAAGTTTTACGAAAGCTTCCAAAAATACCGAAATGATTGTCACATGAAGTGGATTTAGACAGTTTCTGATGGGCCCTTTGTTTATGGATCCTTTCGACTGACTGGCAAGTAGCCCTGATATTCATATATTGAGATCACATGTATTGAGGCTCTAGTTGCGATCTGGC